GTCTAAATTGTCCATATTTAATAAGTTCGTCTATCAAGACTAAAAAAAAACTTAACTGAACTGAGTTGAAACAAAATTTTGGGGCACAAATTCGATGTTAATTCCTGTTAAAAGGAATTAACGCTTTATTTTTGAACCTGTCTCGACAATGTTATTGAAACTTTCCTTCATATAATTTTGCTTTGTTTTTTTTTTAACTTCATTAAAATCTTATTGTTAATTCGAGTCGTCTTGTAAGTGTACAGCTTATATCTGAGGAAAATGCATAGACGCAACAGTGTGAAAGAAATTTGTGCGACAAAAGAACATTTTCTTCTGTCGTGCTCAGAAGTTCTGACATCACTCGATATTCATTCCTCATTGAAGTGACGTTGACATGCGAGCAGAACATTATCTGAGGTTCAATACTGGAAAAACATCGGGGGAACATATGAGCTTGAGAAGAAAGTATTTTCCTCTGTTCTTCATTATGCAAATGAAATTACTCGGTTCGTATTTCCCAGACGACGGTGAAAGAAAAATTATAATAAACTTAATATAGAAATAAGTTCTCAAAATAAGACGAGCAGAAGAACTTATCTCGACTAACATCGAAAAGAGACGAAAGTGCAGACCTAATACTTTGTTTACAATAATTACATACAAATGAAGGAGTCGTTCTCATCCAAATACTTACGTCAAATAAACTCACGATTTGAAGCCAACAATCAAAAAGCAATTAGCTTCGTTTAATTCGGTGTGCAAGATAAAAGCCTTTAAAAACGAGACGCTGAATGAACAAGGAAGAGCCATTTTGGCATAAACAGATTTTCTTTTATGACTTATTAGGTGAAAAGCGCTTAATTATGAAACACAAAGCTGTAAGCGTGAAGGCAAACTTGTACGTGCAAATGGGTTTGAAGTTCAATCAGTCCACTTTATTCATGATCACCTCATTCACAAATCCTTGGTTTCCCTTCTTTCGAAGAAATGAGATTAGGCTAATTTCGTGTTTAGATATGTGACATTGTGGAAGGAAAAGCTGCAATCAGCAGATAGCGTATTTAAGAGATTTTGTCTCCTATCAACTGGCTTGCATTGGGGCACTAAAGTTGGTTTTAAAGTAGCTTTACATCTGGAAACTTAATTTCTTCTTTTCAGCTGCATTGAAAGTCAAATGTTTCGACTCTGTTTTGACCTTCCATGTGAGTAAAAAATCTCGACGGAAAAATACTTTTTGCGTGAAAAACAAAAATAACTCACAGTTCTAAGAAAGACAGTCGAACATTCCATTGTAATTAACGTCTATTTCCGTAAAATCAACAACGGTAAAATTTTCAATATAGTTGATGATGACTCCAAAAGCAACACAGAAATAAAAATAACCAAATCAACACGTTACCAAGCATTACAATACATTCAATATCATCTGTTTTTGAAAATTTATTTTCTATCATTAATTTAAGTTCTATGAAACGGGGAAATATCAATTTAACACACGCATTTTAATTTGTCTTCAACGACGAGTTCGATGTTTTCTACACATTTGGATGGAAAGATTCATCTTTGAAAGATTGGTTTGACTGGGTCTCAAGTGGGACTGGATGAACCCACCGTATAAACAAACAAAACCACCCAGTATCAATCTGCTACATGTGGGTGTTAACTAATCGTTGCTCTTAAAAAAGGCAAGCAATTTTAAATCTTTTCTCTAATTTTAGCAGTTTCTCACGATACTTGTCTAAATCTGGAGACGATCCTCAACGAAGTATTCAAGAAAGCAAATGAATGTATCGTGACATTATCGTCAACAATAGAGAACCACTCTCAACTTAAGCCTTCATTTTAAGACTTGAACTGAAAGAGGCACGTAAAGCTCTCAATCAGTATGCGCTGATGCTTTCAATGCTAACAGACCAAAGTATGATTTGGTCACGAAAATCATCCTAAAGAATACATGCCTCGGCAAACACCGCTCCGTAATATTAACAAAACTTTAGAACACAGGGGCAAACAGAGTTAATCTCTTTACCAAAAACGGATCAAAGGATGAAAATTAGTATTTCATAAAAAATAGTTGGAATACAGAAGAACAAAGCCGAATGTTATCCAATCTTTGAACAAGGAAGTATCTATTCTCTTAAGATTACAATTCATCGGGATTTTCTTATCGAAAATGCGTTCTATTTTCCCGCTATAAGAGTTTAGAGAGATCTCTGCCAGTATATTCCCCATGCTCGTAATAAACTATGTGACGAGTGGGAACCTTTAGTCCAAAGGATATCTGGTGGAAAGTTTAAAGGAAGCCAGTCGTGAACGCCGAATTAAAAAAAAACAGATATCGACTGTCAGCCAGATGATTACTTTCGCCAAATACAAACGATCAGAGGAGTTCTTCCCTTGCATATCGACAAGGATGAAAAATGTACAATTGATGTCCCAAAAACGCATTGAAAGGGGCATTGTTGAGTTCTTATCAAGAGAAATAAATAGCCGTTATCTTAAGCTGAAGGCTCATACCATCAAGAAACACCGCGTGGACGCATAGAGCTCGTTTTTCAAACAGACCATAAGGCCTTCATTGCCCTATCTAAGTATGAACTGGGAGCGACTAGGGCACTCAATTCTTCTCCTGGGCCCCTTGTATTCCTTTAGTCCATCATAAGTCCCCCCCCTCCCCCCATCATTCCACTACCCTTGCAGTATTTCGTCAATTTTATTCCCTAAGGCCGGGGCCTAAGACTGAGCCTGTCAATGCAGAGATCAGCGGTTTTTTCGTCCCCTTTTATGCTTCATCTCGGTGAAACACGTGAGAGGAAACGATGGTATAGTTTCATGCCACTTGATATTAATATCCAAGTCTGTTTGTATGGTTTTGTTTGTACCTGGAGACGAAAATATTATCAATGCCTACTGTCACTATATCCTGCTTCCCATAATTAACCTGTTGACTACTTTGAGCCGGTACTGACGACATCGTAATTCGGTGATAAATGTAATTTTAACACTCACTTAATTATTTCGTTATTACATCTTCTTAACAGAAGTATTATATTTCAAAATTCTCTTTTAAAAAATCATTTTTTTAATGACAGATTACAAGCCTATCATGACTCAAGCAACTGATTTTTATATGCGTGCATCATCATGACGGAAACTCATTTCCATTTGTTTTAATATTATCTCTTATGTTTTTTGGAGATGATCAAGCGTGCGTCGCACGAGTTGTACATTTGAACGAAACTCGTGGCTCTAAATTGGTTATTTCTGGTTCGCTTTGGATTTTTTTTTTTTTTTAAATCAGAAGCTGAACCTCAAAAAAAAAATTTAATCAGAAAGTTTTCCTATGATAAAGACAAGAACCCTTCTTAACAATGATCGATGAGACCTAGCCCAATTCTCTCTCTGCCATTGTATTTCTTAATTATTAACAAAATGCTTTGTTATGTGACGTTTTTGGTTAAAATGTATTCATTTGAGCTTCGATAAAGGAACTAAACACTCCATGAAATACATACAACTGAGACCCGTTGCATTGTAGTCTGAGGTTGGCAAGTGGTGGTAAGGTCAACTGATCGTGAGTTAGTTTATGAAGAAAGATATCCGCTATGATTGGTTGATTTTTCAACAGCTGAGGGTTGTGCAATTCTATCCTTTCTACTTTGGAGTATTGATCCCTCAGCGGTCCGCTATCAACAGCCCGCGTTGTTGTGTTCCTGGATCGTGAGCATCCATGCTTCTAAAATTTCGATTCCTTTTGTTGCTGTCGACGTTTATCGGCGATGAATTGGTTTGTCGATAGCGTTTTGATACTACTTGTATAACAAAAAGGATCAATAAAAATTTGGTTCATTTCAATACCGGTGACTTCTTGTCAATGTAAGTTTTAACTCTGTTCTATAAGAAAATGACAAACTGTGCCATCATGTAAAGCATAACCGAATATAGAGGATTTACCAAGAAAGAATAAGTCCTACTCGTGTCAAACCTGTTTAGACTTTATTTCAATTTCATACTCGTTTGACAATCAGCAGGTCAAATTATCACATTTAAAACGCCGTTTGGCAGGTAATAGGCTGCTTCTAACATAGCGAGCAGGTTTTATGTACTTTGCCGAATGCCAGGAATATGAAAGGGTCTATTGACACCAATAAAAAGCAGTTTACAATCTGGTACCATGAATTCATTTTTCATAGGTGTTGAACTGTTCATTCGGTCGGGGACCTTTAATTTACCAAAGTAACTGGGAAACCTGAGAAAAGTCTTCAACGGTTTTATTATTCGAGAGGTGAGTTCAACCCCTGATAACAAACATAACTTGTCTTTGTTTTTCTTATCCTAGCTAACTTGTTTGGCCCCGATGACATGCACTGGAGAAAAACTGCAAAACGTAATGTTACATGACATTCGATCACAATAATCAAACCTTAAACAGAAGAGACTGGGGAAGAATTACTGTCAGTTCACTTGGAAAGTGTTGGGCCAAATAAGGAAAGATAACCTCAAACTCGTGTTTCGAGCTCCTATCATCTTCGTCGAAATGTTTGGGGTATCTCTTTCCTTGATTGATTTTGTACTGATAGTGTAACGAGAAATTCTGCCTTCGTCACTGGTGGGACTTAAAGGGTTAAAGAGCGTCACTGCTAAGCGAGTGTCTTCTATCGTTTTGTCGTGAATCTAATGTTTGTTTTGTTTAGTTTTAGCTTAAGTATTTCATCACCATGTCAGTATCAAGAAGAGACTGAAAAGTAATTTAGTACTTGGTTTGATAACATTTACTTGTTTGCTAGAATAAGAATCATTTTCAAAGTGGTTCGTTTCAGAATTGCGCGATGTTCTTCTTGCTGGTCTCTTCTCTGTTGGTAATTAATGCAGTATTAGCTGGCCCCCGCGGAGGTAATTATGAAATATTTCCGTTTTTCGTTTTTGTTAAAGGAGATATCGCTTTATCACTGACTTCTGCTTGTGTTCAGTTACGCTAAGCTCTCGTCGTTTTGTACTTTCAGGACCCCAGTGGGGCTATGGGAAGTCCAAAAATCTCAGTAAGTATGTTTGGGGGAAATATGCATAAAATTCATGACTTCAAACTCACTCAATATGATTAAAAAATATGCCCTGAACATGCCCTTTTGATCAGTTGGTGAAGTGTATTGCGTTACATAGCGTTACGTAGTGTTACCATTGTGAGGACACCTCCCATAACTCAGTCGCGTCGTAAATCTGTTTTTCTAAGTAAAAGTTAGAAAAAAATTACGAGTGTTGAATGGTAAATATACTATCTTGGTTATTGAATAGAAGACAGTTGAATGAGAGCAATGAGAGGAATCACGTGACCAATGAATACCCTAAAGTTGGTTCTATAACAAGGCTGTTATTTTCTTTCTTTCTTTCCCAGCACTTGGCCCCACTGATTGGTATAAGATCGCTCCCCAGTGCGCAGGTACGGCCCAGTCCCCCATCGACCTTGACTGCTATTCATTGAAAAGCAACATTTGGGAGGAAAATCTAGCAATCGATTTTGATAACGAGGGTGGTCTTGTAATTGGATCATTTACCAATAATGGCCATTCCCCTACCCTTGCAATTGAAAAATCTCTCGGATCTGCCACCCTCAGTGGGGGTCCTGTGGGGGATACTGTGTTCCAACTGGAACAATTTCACTTCCACTTTGGATGTTCATCATTCCAAGGCTCAGAGCACACAGTATCTGGAAGTTCATATCCTGTTGAGGTATTCCTTGTTTGTTGTTTCGAAATTAAAATTGAGTTTTTAACTTTTTTATGTCATTGTCCCTCATCAATATTTGTAATTGTTATCATTATGCATTGTTTCTTTTTTGTGTCGAGCTAAGATTTCTGAGGAGTACATACATTTACATCCTCGAGAAGCTAGGAACCTCTCATTAAGGACGGCTCTACTTAGGTCACACTTTTCCTGGTCCAACTCTTTTCCCAAAATACTGATATTTCACAAAATTTTCCTCAAAATACAGCCATAATTTTCAAAAGGGAGAAGTTTTTTGCGAAAGTCAGCCGACCAGACTAGTTCAAAAACTATTGTAAATCACAAAGATCGATCAGTAATTTTTCTGCTTCACTAAAACAGACATTGTAAATCCGTCCACATATCACAGCGTATATGATTTTTAAATTATTATTTCCAGGCACACTTCGTGTTTTATAACTCAAGTTACACAGATTTTGCAAGGGCCGCTGATAAGGCTGATGGACTCGCCGTGGTTGGTGCTTTTTTCGAGGTACAATATTTGCTGCCCCAAGAGATAGCAGTCTCCATGCTTATGTGTTAGAAATAATTTGTTATATTTGTTGGTGACGCATTCACCTGTCAATTCTAAAAGACTTTTCTTATCACATATAAAAGTAAAAAGTAAAGCCTTTAGACAGGCCCAAATGGCCCATGGGGCCGGCGCTTAAATCCGGTTTCATCAGCGTGAAGCGGCTAGGACTTTTGCAACTCCCCCTGGGGTGCTAGTCCATCGCAGGGCTTACCCCCAGCATGGTACCCATTTGTACAAAGTAAAGTGTCTTGCCTAAGAAAACAACACAATGACCCCGGCCAGGGCTCGAATCCGGACCACTTGATCCGCAGTCGAGCGCACTAACCATGAGGTCACCGCGCCTCCACTTATCACATGTATATGTTTGTTTCTTTGATTTTAGCTGGGTTCGGAGCCGAATGGAATTTTAAGCAGATTGCAAAGCAAGTTTGAAATGATCGTCGCAGAAGGTATCTCTTGGAATTCGCTATACAATGATATTGCCACAGATTGATTAAAAAACTACACAAGGCACGCACTCACGGAAATTAAAATTTTCAGTGAAGACAAGTAAAACACTCTTAAACTCTTACAAATTCCTTAAGATATCACGCCTACTTTGTCACAATTATTTCAAAAAAATCGTAAATTCTTCATAAACACTCGAGTTTTTTCTAAATGGATGTAAAATTCTCGAGTGATTGGCAAAACAATGCCCATCATCAAAAAATTTACTTACAGTTCATTTTTCTGCTAACTACATTGTAATTACAGGGAAAAGTGTCCCAGTGGTAGACACAGATAAAATTTTTTTGAAAGATCTGGTACCTGCATTTAACAATGGTTCGCCTTACTACACTTACCAAGGATCCCTTACCACCCCTCCCTGCTTCGAATCTGTACGATGGATTGTGTTGTCAGAAACTGCACCATTTAGTCCATCCCAGGTCAGTAGGGGTAATATCACTGTAATTGCTTTAGTGCGCACACGCAACGCTAAAAAAAATAGAAAAAAATTTGATTTAAAAAAAGATTAATGAAATTAGTTTAAATTTCGCTTTGGGGATTAACAGCTATTCACCAAAATGCATGAGGTGGCTGGTGGTACGTGGATATTTACCGAGCCACGAGAAGGTGAGATAAATATTCACCGCTAGCCTCGGACGCTGAGGGGAATAGTAGTTTTATTTTATACAAGAACAATGAGATAATATAGCACAAAAATATAATCTTTAAGAAATTTATTCCTGTAACGATTACAATATTTACCGTCGTAAATCCCATACGAGTCGCTTGATGGTAAATAGCAAAGGATATTCGGGGTTTGTGTAGCCAATCAGAGCGCGCCTTCAATTTAGTAATTTAAACCAGCTTGGGCAGCCTTGGTTGAGGATTGTTTCATCAAAAGAGATATTGAATTAACTCAAGAGCTTATAGGGATATTAATTACCATGTGGACGGAGTCTAAGTGAGGAGCTTTGCATGCCTCCCAACTTGAACATTTAAGGTTTCAGAGCTACCTCACACTTATTCACATTTTCAATCATTTCAGCTTATAATGTTCAATCGGCTCCAGTCTTCCACTGGTTACGGTGATGGAAAGATGTGCAACAACTTCAGACCAGTACAACCAAGGAAAGGGAGAGATGTGTTCCTGATTTATTGAGGAATGGAAAATACTCATAAAAACTTTTAACCAGTACAGTCGAGTGACAGAAGCATGCGTTTTTTTCTCCTGTTTTTGTTTGTATTGAAATATTAAAATAATGAGGTTAAAATTATGATCCAATTTCCTTTTTCTGGGGAGTGGGGCGGGGAAAAGGAAAGGAGGTGGGGGTGGGGGAGACATGCGCAGTGAAGAGCATTTCAATATGTCATCAGCTGGTGACATCCAGCAGTTAATATGCTTCTCTGAAACAAGTTTACGGGTGAAAGCGTCAAATTCAAGAGAGAGTCCTATTTGACTGAGTGTCAAAAACCAAGATTATTACAAAGTTCGTTCGAAAAAAGAAAAATTGTCCTTAAAGGCCAATGGGTTTGCGAATTTTATTCAAATGGAAAAAATGCGAGATACCTTGAGTAACCAAATGGCGATTGGTTTAAGCTTGTCATCCGATTGGTTGTTTTATAAACCAGTCACAGGACATAGAAACACGAAACAAATTGTATCACATTCTCTTAGCGCTCAATTGAAAATTGCTTCACGGGGGATTTTCAGATCTTTAAGATTCGAGATGATATGGCTTAGTAGCACAAGATTTCTTGGATAATAGAATGTCCATGAAGTTTTGTAAGGAAAATTAAGTCAAGCAACCAACCAACATATCAGCTTACATGTCTTTTTCATCTTTGATATAACTTGAAAACGCAAGTATTGAAACACCAGAAGACGTTGATTGATTAAACTAGATGGGTTTGCTTACCCATTGTCATGGCATGCTGTGAAAAAATAGAAAAGAAAAAAGATTGGCCTTTGAAACAATGCTTGGAAGCTTCGTTCATATAAAGCTCTCAAAAGGAGATAAATATACAGGATAAAAACTAATGAACATTTATTTTGGCAGTAAAAATTATTTCCTCACAAAAGTTTTAATTACAGCCTCTTAGTTGTTAGCAACAGTTTATTAATTAGAGAAGGACGTTTTTCGGATTCCGTGGGAGGTTAAGACGAAAAACAATTTTCTCTATTTCCTTTGCCGAGCACAAAACTTCCCATCTCTCTTATTCCATTTACAAACATGACGCTATTGATCTTGCTGATCCTAGAAATATGCAGATTTGTCATACGAACTTCTTAATAGACCTCGCTCACCGTTGAGTCTCTGATCGAGGCTCAGTGATAGAGCATCGGAGCCTGGAATTCGAAGGTCTGCGGTTCATTGGGACTCAGAATTTTTTCTTTGTCCCACAAGACGAAAAACATCTTTCTTAATTTCCTTTACCGAGCTCAAAACTTACCATCTCTCTTATTCTGTTTACAATTTATTTATTGTACGTCTTATTATATCTCTAAAACATCTGCCTTTCAACCGCTGACACTTGTGAATAATTTAAATTTGTCACCTACACCATTTACCAAAGGCTGCAATATTTGTTGCATCTATTTGGTGTTTTCGATAATTTTGGTGAAATACCTACGTCCCAAACAGCAAAATCAGCGCATAACCAAAGGTACTCATGTTTGAAAGCGAGCGGTTGGTGCTGTGTCCATGCAAATTTTGAAATTCACAAATGCAGCTGAAATGCATCGCATTAATTTGCTATTTTTAGTCATTTTGATGCAAAATCTTCGCTCAACACAGCAAAATCAGGATAAAACCCAAGGTAACCATGCTATAAAGCGAACAGATGGTGGTGTGTCTTACGCAAATTTTGAGGTTCACAAATTTCATCATCTACAAGTATCTCCGCCAGCCTTTCCCCATGAAGTGCTTCAAGCTAAAGAATGCGCGTTTGCCTGTGTTACTCAACAAACGTGTTACTCGTTCAACATTGGGCTGTCTCCAAATCAGAAAGGAAAATTTCTATGCGAACTTTTAAGCGGAGACAAGTTTAGAAGCCCAACAAATTTGACATTTTCGCAACAGTTTGACCATTACAGCATTGAGGTAAATAATTTATCTTATAAGGGTGTAACTCACGTATGTATCATGAAATTCAATTTCTCATAAGTTTTGAAAATGTCTTTCTTGGTCCGTTTTCTTATTTGCTGCATAAGGCAAAACGGACAAAATACGACTTAAATTATTTCTTTACCTGAGCTCACTGCGTATTTACCCAAGGTGGACAAGTAGCTGTTTCTTATTTGAACATTTTCATGAAAAAATTAATATTGCATTGATAAGACAACAGATTTTTAAATATGTAAAATAATGATGAAACTGAAGCCTAAAGAATATCTGGAGGGACGATTTTGAGCGAAATAATTAATTAAGTTTTGTTGCTTAGATACCAACGTCAGAGCCAGTCAATCTTTCAGCCGAGTTTGAGCCAAAACGATGATTAGATTTCCTATCTAGCTACATAAATCTCTAAAAAAAGCCTTTGGGGCGATTTACAAATCACTTTTGCGTTATACTTGGATTTATACTCAGATCACGTTTCAACGTATCCGTTAAAATGTATGATTGCTCCTGCGCATGGAGTTTTTGTTGTCACACGGGTGCGGAGAAAATTAAAATGAGTTAATGAGTTGAAAGAAGCTACTCGCATTTTAAGTGTCTTAAACAAACTGGCGAAATTAATTCCTAAGTCATGTGAAACCCGTTAATTCTTCTCCATAATTCTAAAATTTGTTCCTTCTAAGCTTGTAATTACTTCTCTGATAGAGACTAATTTTCTAAAACATTTATGCATAACAAAGCAACGTCATGAAAACATGACGCTTCGGCGACGACATGTCACCATCATCAGATGTCACCATCATCAGAAGAGAATATTAATATCAATATTCAATACACAGAAAAGGAAGGTGTGGAATAAAACATTAAAAATGTGGAAAGAAAAAAATGTTTTTTTAACAAAGTGAAAAGTTTTGCTGGAGTGTAGTCTGTTAAGGAGTTCAATTCTGGTTTTTTTTTTCTTTAATAAGCGACATTTCATATATAATTAAGGTACTCGAACTTTCCACAGCATTGTTCGTTTAGATCTATCGGCCCTTAGCAATGTTCTTTCACGTGTTTACCAGTCACGGACAAATTGCGTCTCTGGAATGTTATTCCATCTTTAGGCTTTCGTGTGCCATAATTTCCTCAACTCATGAGAATCTAAAGTGTTTAGGTAAATCTTGATTCGCATTTTCCTTCAAAACACAATTTTTTTGTCGCCTTCGCGATTTACAAAACTTGTTTCTTCTCGATCCCCGTCTTTTGAACGCCATACTACATATCTGAAAGCAGTTTTTTTTTCGCAAAAAAACGTCGGCGAATATACCTGTGGATGTTGAACGTCAGTTTTAACCACACTGTCGTTATACTCCATGAATGAAAAGATTCTGATATTTGCCGTGTCTTATCTTTCGATTGCAGTCGCCGTGCTCAAGTCATCCATGCAAAAACAACGGTACATGTATCCCGAATTACGAAGAGAATACATACAGTTGTAGTTGCACCCCTGGCCATAGGGGTCGTTATTGTGGCAAAGGTGAGCATAAATAAAAATAATAATAGCAATAATCATAAATTTTTTTTAAAGTTCAGTTAAAATAAAATAAAACATTTTACCTTAAATAGTTTAAAAGGTTACAACAAGCCATATTGTAAGGGGAACAACGAAATTTAAAACTGGATCTAATTTTTAGTCGAGGAATAATATGGTAGGACAGTCATGGTCTCAACTTCGCGCGTAACGAACATGGTTTTCTTAAATTTCTACATTCAATGAAGACCTTAAATTTGGTTTAGTCGTTGACGATTGTTAAATATCTCCTGAAATAACAGCCGAAATTAGCCATGGTTTACATACAGATACAGGACAAATGTAAATTCCAAAAAAGAGTGTTTCTAAAATTAAGTTTGGAGTTGCTCTGGAATCCTCATCCCCAGTTAGATATGATACTCTATATGTTAAAGATAATTCACCCCTTTGTTGTTTGAGGTAATGAAACTTACTAAAACACCGTTTATCAAAACACCATTTACTGTCACAAATACTACGACGTGCGATTAAGAACCTCGTCCTTCTTTTTATAATATATAATATTAAATCAGACACAAAGCTGGTCATGGCCTTAAGAAAAAGGTCGAACAAGAGTGGACCTAACCAGCTCAAGCAGTTCAAACGCCAAAGCTGGTCATGGCCTTAAGAAAAAAGGTCGAACAAGAGTGGACCTAACCAGCTCAAGCAGTTCAAACGCTAACCTTGTAAACAGCCGTGCAGTGCGACAAAAGGAAGCAATAATGGTGCAGACGATAACTTACGTTTTTTCTTTGTTTCTTAACAACGCCCTGACAAGCAAATGACCCAGTGCAATATTCTCTGCCAATAGAGGCTTGCTTAATCTCGTTCAAAAAAAAGAAAAAAAACTTGTTTGGGTTTCACTGCTATTATTACACATTAGAGTTACTAAGAAAGCTGTTATTGGTCGAGAGCACACATGCAACCAATATACAAAACCCGGTGTTAAGTTGACATCTTAACCCAAATCTGTAGCAGACATTGGGTTATCATGTCGAGTTTAAAGCCTGCCTGTTTTCCGAGCCCATCGCCCGTGAAGTGTTGTCAAACTTTTGCAAACTCATAGAGGTTTTTCTTTTTGCAGATTGTTTAAAAAAATTATGATGAGCCCATTTTTAATTCAGTTTTCGCATTATATCAAGAATTATCAAACCTTGTGTCTGTTTTATTTGCCATAGCCTTAAGCTTCAGTGGCAGATAACGCGGACCTCGGCATTGACTATTCATGATATCATGCTCAACCTCATCCGATAATTGCTTAATATAACTTATTGGTAGTCTTTTCGCTACTGCAAGTGATGTCGTGAGAGAAATAGGCATTCTACCTGTTGAAACTTTCATATCAAAGATTGTTCTTTCTGAGTGATTGCATCCTCTTTCCTTACAAGTCTGTTCAGCACCTTTAGGAATGGAAGACTACATAATTACTTCTACGCAGATTTCGGCTTCGTCTCAATACGACAGTTATCATGCACCAAACCAAGGAAGACTTCACTTCAAAAAAACCGGGTCGTGGGTAGGCAGTTGGTCCGCGCTCGGGAATAACGTCCATCAGTGGTTTCAAGTTGATCTAAGAATTGAGACAACCGTTACATTTCTGGCAACACAAGGACGAAATATGCATGGACAGTGGGTAACCAAGTATAAACTGCAGTATGGTAACGACGGAAGCACATTTCGGGTATTTAAGCAAGACGGGGAGAGCTCTGATAAGGTTAGCCCTGACTCAAAGTGAATTCGTCAAATCTGAGCAAAATGACAAAAACAAATGACGAAAGCGTAACTAAATAAACTAATTAACGGAGAAACTTTGCCTCAGCTGAGTATTATTTGCTTAAAAATCAATTACGATTCATCCAGTCTGCTGTGATTTGACCACGAGAGAAGTGAAGTAATCTCTCCTGGATGGAACTGGGCGAGGAAACCAAACCGCTTTGATTCTCTTACGGGATCAAAGCAAGGACCACCGGAAGGGACGAGATGCATGGGATCAAAGCGGAAAATCTTGAGGAGACCTGCGTGCGCTCGTGATGTTAGTCATGGTTCCATATTTCGAGTTTCTCAGTCGAAAGTTAAAAAAAAAAAGTTTTTTCTCAGTAATATTTATGATTGAGTTATTTCTTATTAACAAACTTGCAGGCCCCTTTGACAAAGAAAATTATGTTAAGAGGAATAGAGATTTACAGAATTCTTCACCTTCCTATTTCAAATCATCAGGTGTTTGTTGGAAACAGTGACAGAGATACTGTTGTGAAGAATCCTGTGATCTCACCCGTCAAGGCTCGATATATCCGGTTGATACCCACAGAATGGCACAACCACATCTCTATGAGGATAGAATTATACGGCTGTCTTGGTAGGTTGGCCTTCCGAGTTCATTTCTAGTTTATAGACAAATTTTCAATTGCGAGCTAAAACTGAAATGGGCGTTGCGCACGTTTTGCATCACTGCGCATCACTATGATGATCAAGAAAATTCGCGTCATCATTTCGACCAATCAGGTACGAATTAGCATGATGATCGTTCTAGCTCCATTGGTATAAACACAAACTCAGGTGTTCCGTAAAAAAAGCTAAGTCAATATAATGATAATAGTACTTGTAGAAAATAACAATTTAAAGTTGGCATAGTTTCTTATGATAATTCCGTGCTGTTTAGTCCTCGCTTTCCAACGCTTCGCAACATTCTTGCCAATGAGAATAGCAAAAAACATCCTCACCTCGCAGTTTCTTTACTTCCCTGAGAGAAATAAAGAGCAAGGGAAAGTAGCAGCACAATCAGCTTGTTTTTGCATTATCTTTTAAAACTTCTCAGAAAACATGCAAGCTCTTGGCATGGAAAGTGGCTCCATTGCCGACTCACAAATTATCGCTTCTTCGATGTACACCGTTTATCACAAACCTGCGCGCGCACGACTCCATACAAAGGAGCTTGGACTTTCAACAGGGACTGGTGGCTGGTCAAGTTTGACGAATGATTTAAACCAATGGCTACAGGTCGATCTCGGTAAAATCACCAATGTGACGTACATTGCAACACAAGGAAGGAATCATTACTCGCCTTCACAGAGGGTGAAGAAATACAAAATCCAGTTCAGCGACGAAGGAGTCTCATTTTTGTTTTACAAGAGACAAGGAGATTCCTCCGACACGGTAAGTTCTCATATTAACATGCAAATTTTAGCGCAGTTACGGAAAACAACCATTGGTCAAAGGTTCAGTAAACATGGGTTCAGAATTCAGGCAATCCATCTTGCCTTCGATATGAAGCGAGAGATTGGCACGAGAAGACGTGATTGAGACGAAATAGGTTACTAGGCCCAGCGAGGTTTCCTCGAAGCAAACCACTCGCCTAGAACATCTCCTAAACGCTTTTACCCCACGGTAGAGGACTGTCTAAGTTTAAAATAATGCACACGTGTGAATGTGACTTCGGTGTCGAAATGATTTGTAAAGAAATTAAAGATGCGCATGTTTAGCTACAGAAAACGTACCTTGCATTTCTTCGGTTAAGGTTATTTCTTTTGAAATCATGCTTTTATGACAATGTGTTGATACTTAGGTTTTCGAGGGCAATTTCGACCGGGATACCGTTGTTTATCATCTCCTGGATCCACCTATCACAGCACGATTCTTGCGGGTAAAGCCAACTCAGTGGCAAAACCACATTTCCATGAGGATGGAGTTATATACTTTCCCAGGTATATCATGTTGTATCATTCCTTCCTTGGCCCTGTTCATTCAATTATTCGTGATATCTTTAAAATATATATAGCATCATTTCATTTTCAAGGTTCAGCTTGTTCTGCGGCCGATAAAATTCGGTTCAGGAAAAAGAGAGCAAAGCAAAAGGCAGAGATTGACATCGGTATCTCCCCTCCCCTCTCCTTCTCTCCCCTCCACCCCCCATCCCTTCTTTTTTGTTGTGGTTTTATGATAACAATAACAATTTTCCTAATGACTTCCACACAACTTTAAAACTATGTTGCCTAAAGGTAAGGCTTCGGAAGATGTGCAGCATCACCGTCTTTATCAGTGAGACTTTCGCGCATGTGAGGCGTGCGCAACGTCTGTTATCTCAACGATGTCTGAACGAAGATGCAATTCTAAATCAAACGTGGTCCTTTCATCTTTACAGGAGAAACTTAAGCCTTTCACTCACCTTTGCAAGCGGCTGTAGGTTTAAGGACGAGCAGTACCTTCCAGGAATTTCAGTGAGCCACAACGCTAGCTCAGTTGGCAGAATACAGCAGTTGTAGTTTCTACAGCACATCTTTCCGGGATGTTTAGTTGAACGATTTGGCATACTAATGTCTTCTTTACAAAAGTATTGTACAATTCGTACAAGTGTGTCGATCCCTTCCTGAACACGGTTGTACATTATTTATTAATTATCAGGAATTAGCAAAACATGACGACAGTTGTTTGCGATCGTTTCAGTGCATTTAGAAAAAAATAGTATATAAGGCCTTTATATGTAAATGGATGACAATGAAGTATTCTTCCAAAGAAGGCCAAATTTTTTTTATTGTCCCATACGAATCAGAACATATCTCGCGTTAACCTTAATTAGTTAAGTCTATACAAGCAATGATTGAAATCAAAAATTACTGTACAATTTCTTGCCCAAAAAATATCCTTGAGCTGATATAACAGTCTTATACTAACATGGGAAGCTAGCCCCGAAGTTTCGATCTAATACAAAGTTCTCTGGGTCGAACTGTCGGCTAAAAAGCAAGCCCATCCCGAGAAAAAAGTATCCGTTAGCGAAATACTTAATGTCTCGTGAGTGACTGTAAAAGAAAAAAAAACCAGACAACCAAACAAAAAAAAAAAGTAAGTCTACTGGGTGGTAAAGGAAAGAATGTTTAACAAGACCAACTCCCACCCCATCCCATTCGTTTTCTTTCCTGAGCCACAAGAAGCTTGTCTCGATCCTTGAACTGTTCTGTACGTTGAACAAAGTTAACATTAATTTTCTGATAGTAAAAAGAAACGTTCTCTGGGATTAGCAAGAAAAAAACCAGAAGGAAAAGAGAAAGAAAAGGGATGGAAAAGATTTAGTCAGATTACAAACTGCAACTTAAGAAACAGTAGATTAACACGTTTGAAAGGAAACGACGTTTAGTTTACAACTCGCTGAATTACTACCAAGATAAGTGTTCTCCAATGTTTGCAAACAGGAAATTAAGCGTTCGTTTATAATTTAGTAGATGGTCTAGTCTAACAACCTGTAATAATTTCGCAATAACAAAAATAGATTGTATTTTTTCTAGTTTAGATTAAGATGAACAATGAAGGCTTCAATCTCTTCTATTTAAGACGAAAAGAAATACCTAGGACCCATTTTGTTCTTAGAGAAGAAAATCGTAATGCTGTAGTTAGTGGCTCCAACCCCCAAGCTTGCGTGACAGCTTGCGTGACAGAAAAATCACCTCACGTAAGCAACCAGCAAAGAAAATGATCGCAAGTAACACATCGGAGTCAAACAGTCTCAGTTTTCTCAAGTTCAGAGTCCAATGGCTTTGAGCTGCACAAAAACTAAATAAAATATTGAACTGAAAGAGTCCACAAGGTTACCGGCCGCTGAAGTTAAAGGTTAAAATCATGTTACCAATCAGTCAAGCTGCATACATCTCGGACAAAAACGTCGGCAAAAAATTTTTCTCAAAGCTCTTCGAAAGTATAAATTCAACAAAGGTGGAGATAGAGGGAGTTCAATTTAAATCAGACAATAGTGCTCCCGAGCAGTTATACATCGATCGATATAAACTCGTGAGTGTTCGTTAATCCGTCGAGAAATGCTCGAGCGTGTTCGTACATCAATTGGTTGATGTTCGTGGGTATTGGAATATCAATCGATACAAGTTCGCTCCTTTCCGCTGAACTGTAGGTATTATGTTTTTACTCAAATTTGACATAATAGCGATAGTATCCGAGTCCACCTGCACCCTTGATCCAAAAATATGAGATGACATGCACGAAAATAAAAACTGGAGATTGAGATCGGTTTAAGAAGTGAGTACGAAAAAAAGCGCAAATGAAAAACCGATAATAACTCGGTGTTTTCCCACAGGTGTCCAAAGAGAAGCACTCTGAAAATGTAGATCTGAACAAAAATATATCAAACCATGTCCTTAATACACTGTTACCATAATAGCTCTGTCCTGTTTGTGGCAGGATGAAGAGGAATTCGTCGACTAGCGCCAGTCCACTTTTGTACAAGATGCCCACTTCAAATGTAGCTTCCCGAGCACTGAGTTCGTCATATAAGAAGAATCGTTTAAAATTTTTACATTTTACTCCAAGAAATTTGCAACCTTACTAGGCATTTTGCATGGCGTTACAGCAAAGATACATGTGATGCGACTAGCGTAACTGCATCACGCAATCGTCTTAAAGTCAGCTTTGCTCAAAGGAAACCATTTTAGTGACACCACGCAGCGCTTCACAGTTCCGTTGGACAAAACCATTATGACGCAAGCTTCGTACCATTCATACTGGCGCAGACATTGTCTTGACAACCTCGACGTCAAACAAACACCTTAGCTAATCCATCCGCGCCCGCGCTAGCAATGTACGGTCGATTGGGATGAAAAGCAACGTCATATATCGCTTCATCAAATTTCTTCCGATGCGAGGTGATTTCTTGGACACAGGTTTTACTGTCCAAGTTCCACAGACGAATGGAACAGTCATGACCTAAACGGAAAAAAAGAGGTAATTTTATCGTGTTTTCGGTAAAATGCACAATATGTAGCTATATGAACATAATTGATAATGAGGTCTCTGCTAGCGTCAATCACGTTTCGAACCTCATGGGATGCGACTGAGATTTTGACAACGATCATGTCGAGTTGTGATGATAAGAATTCATTTAAAACACCTTGTGTCAAAGAAAATCCGAGTACAACACAAATCTGTCAGAACTTAAAGCCAAACATCTCATCAAAGGATTACATAATTATCAACTCTTCACGACAGATTCACCTCACAGACACTACCCTGAAAGCTGATATTTCGTGTAATAGCCCCTCATTGAAACAAGCCTAAAATCCACAAAAAAGGTACCAAAGATCTCTGTACCTGTAAGATAAACGTTAATTTTTTTTTACTTTCTCAAGAAAGGGAAATCTAAGAAAATGAGCCAGTACAGTTAACAGGGCTCATCTGAAGAGGCACTCAGATGTGGATTGGGTGCGGGATTGGGGAATACTGACACAGAAAATATCACTGCTGTCCTTACTTCCTGATAAGAGGTACAACCCATTGGGGTCCACTGCTAAGCTGGTTACAGCATCAAGATGAGCTACCATGGTGTGAATTTGTTTACCTAAAAAACAAAAAAACAACAATAAACATCACACAACTGTAAATACAACCGCATGCTTATTATTCCTAGCAAAAACAATTTCCTTTCCTTAAAATGTTGTCGATATTAGACGATACAATCATAAATAATCCTGCACCGCAAAATCGAACGAAGACTGATATGCGCAACTTTATAATTCGAGACAAGGCACTCAGAAAAAAAAAAACTTGGGATAGAAACCCTGATAAACATCAATTCTACCCAAAATTGATCTTTCATTTCGCAGAGGAAAATTTTGTTTTTCGATTTTCTTTCCTGGGAGCGTAAATGTTCATTTTGCTCTTAATTGAAACCACCTTTACCTAATGAATATGGAATGAGGCTGAACAAAAGAAATTGATTAAAACACCATATGTCAAATAAATTCAACTATCTCCTTTATCTAATCAAAGAATCCCTATGGCCAACTCGTGCAGAAAGCACTTAGTATAGAGATGAAACATGGTCGTGAACTTGTAATTATTGGTCTTGTAGCAATGCAAGGTTGCTCTTATCTTAAAAGCCAAGGTTCCGGAGAACCATGGAGAGACCCACAATCATGGAAAACATCCAACTCCGCAGAGTAATAAACGCATATAAGACCAAGAAAACAGCACAAAGTAGTATCCTGCGTTTATCGTCCGCTTCTGATCAATCCAGCCGCCAATGTGTACATAATTGAATTTAATCACAGTTCATGTTTTACATTAGATCATAAACAATCAAAGCGATCCACAGTATTAGGTTTGTGCCTGAGCTTGATAAATTTTTTTTCACTTGGAAGGTGTACTTAAAGCAATGATGATTGATATAAATAGCAACAAAGCCTCTCTATCGTTTTCTGCGCGGATACCACTCTACTATGATTTCGTGTTTGGGCGAGTTCGGGACTAATTAACGACTAATTACCACAGTGTCTACGTATCGGAGTCCCCCTGAAAACTCCTTTGCACGAGTTAAAAATAACACCTATTCACTAAAATTTTAACGAAACAAATATACTTGTGTACTGAACGGCAGGCCCGAACGGGTAAAATATTTCTCCCGTTCGGCTCCAACAAACTCAGTATTTTACCAGAGGACGTCTGATCTGTGCAAAAGGTGAAATTACGTTTGAACCAAAAATGAACGCGATTTCATACATAAACGGGCGCGCGCTGAACACCACAGAAAAGTTCACAATTAAATTTTTCTTCTTCCTTCCTTAGAATCGGAATTAGAAACCACCCAATTCACCGAAAAGCGCGACTTTTTTCCCCTTTTTTTTGTTTTATTTTAAGTTTACGTCCACGATAGGAATTCCGGGGTCGGCTGGCTTTTTCCGGACCCGCTTACGTCAGCCTGTCCGCCCCTATACACGTCAGCTTTTAGCATGGTTTTCTTTTGGATTGCATGAGCGTGGCCGTACAGGTCAAATGATAAAACACGAAATGTGATTTAGAAGAGGCAGACTTTAATGATTCGAGAGCTTATGTCCGCTGACAAAGAATGACACCATAATCTGTTCGTACACCCCAATTAGCACTTAAATATTGAATAATAAACCAAAGCGAAGAAAAAACTTTTTGCGAAATGCATGCATTTATTGCCTGTTATTTTCTAAGTCTTTCTGTCCCGCAGTATCTTCAAAGAATAAGTTTTGATAAAATGTCCACTCTCGTTACATTTTTTCCTTAGAAAAATACAACACAACTGTCGCTAAATAATAAAGACAAGATTTCGCTTTACATTGTCGAGTGGCTTCAAAAAAAATTATGCATTTGTCAATACGTTTCAATTGCTTTTCACGTTTTATAGTTCAACTGGAAACACTGGGCGATTTCTATTTGGCGTGAACAGCTCTCGGATGACTTGTTTGAATCGACAAGTGCGCAACGAGTAAACGATCGGACTACACGCGCTGGTTAGATAAGAGCAGAAAAAGGCGAAGTATTCCAACCAAGGAACTGTGATATCTCTTCGCAGGCAAATACCAAGCGCCATTGCAGGCACGAAGCAAACGAAGTAAGTCACCACGACGATAATAATGTTCCGAGTGGTTTGAATTTCTTTTTTTCGGAGGAGGTCCAGCATTTTTTTGCCTTGAGAAGTACATTCATCTCTACCAGTTAAGTCTTCGATCCGCTTACGACTTGCCTTGACAGACCGCCAGATAAGTCCACCTAAAACGGTTATCACAACCAAAGGGGCACCGAACAGGGCCAAAGCAACTTTCCAACCCCCAGTTTTATATAAAATTCGACGGTACTCCATGAGAGGCAAGTCCTCATAATGGGATAGAATTCTGTCGCGATAAAAACCTAAGGATATTATCAACACCGTACCCGTGACCCAGATAAGAGCGATTCCGCGGTACGCTTTTTTTTTGGTTTTCCAAGAGTGGTACCGAAACTTAAACGCAATGGCGCCGTAACGATCAGCCATTAGGGCCATGAGCGTCAACACGTTCAAGTATATGATGTAGTTATGCAAAGAAGAAAACACATAGGTGATCCACTTTCCTTTGAAGACATCCAGTCTGAAAATGTAAAAGCTCACAAAGAGCGGCATATTGACCAGAGAATTGAACAAATCGATCACCGAGAGGTTTACGATCAGAGCGTTCGGCACGGTGCGTAGATGTTTGAAGCGGTAAACTATGTAGCAAACCAAACCATTTCCAGCCACAGCGAACAAGAACATGGTTGCCAGGAAAACGAACTGAGCTATGGAAGTCGCCGTGAATTTTTCTTCCGCTTCGTTTGTCACCAAAACGGTGCCGTTCGACATGATTCTTCCGAGGAGAAGCGTAGATTGAAAAGAGAAAACTTATAACGGCTAGGGAGAAAAAAGCTTAACTATTGAGAAAGAGAGAAAGAGAGAGAGAGAGCTTCGGTTGCGGTTCGCCGGGTACCTCGAAATTCTTCTCTGTGTCTTAAAGAGTGTCCTAGAAGACTCATGTGTAGAAACTGAATGCGATCAAGGTCTTTTCAACTCATCTCAAAAGACAAGACACATTAGGGATCTTTGCCATCCTCTTTCTCGATCTGTGTCCCTAGAAGGCCACGTGTTTTCATTTCCGATTGCGAAGCAAATTTTGCCTTCTAAAACGCTTCTTGTTTCTTTCAGGAAAGAGAAAAATTCTTTGTTAAAAGGTTTCCGCTTCAAACAAGGCCTTCGAATAAAGTGGAAGTAAGCCTTTGATGAAGAAATATTCACGCAAAAATGTTTTCGCTTTAAAAAGGTTCTTTTTCGAAACGTTTTCGTCGTTTCATTCATACTGATACGTTTGCAAATGCTAATGAAAACGAAGACTTTTAAAAGCGACTCCAAAAGCAGTCTTTGAATCCTCATAATGGAAACGCTTCTCTTCAAGAAATTGGCAGGTGAAAACGGAGGCCTTTGACAGTTCAATAAGCCAATCACATTCAAAGTGGTAGTTCAAATTAAACATCACATTCAAAGTTATAATAATAAATGACTTGTATTACGCAATTATCAATATTAAATTTTCAAGTTGTCATTCAAAGTCAGTTTCAGAACGACATAAAACAATTTACGCCTCCTTTGTCAGTCTTTTAATGCAAATTTTCCGTTTCTATCATAACTTGGCTATTCTTTTTTTCTCGGAAATTGTAGTTTTAATGATTAACTGGTAATAAGACTTTGTGTCGTCCAATTCGGTCTGTAATCATACTGGTGAGAAACAAATCGGACCCTCGCGGCGCAGTCGTTCCATTTTGTTATCACTCGTATGATTACGAGTGATAGATTGCGTGAAGATTGAAGAAGATTAAAGAGTGAAGATTGCAGCTGCATAAGCGTCAATCAAACACAAATAGCCAATCATGAAACAGTTTGCCGTTTTATTTTCTTACCTGTGTTGTTGTCAAAGAAGCGTATATGTCGGTCTTCGTGCGCTGTGACTGTTAGGGGAAGGGTGGGATGACTAACTACTTTGTTTATTTGTGTAGAAGGTGAATTATCTATGGAAAGAAGAACAAAGCAATGTTGCATAACTGATAAATCCTCAAGCAACTCAAAAGGTGAGTAGGTGAAAAATGAGTGGCTTCATCACAAGAAAATTGGGATCAATATCAGTATCTGGGCAACTGCCCACCTACCCCTCCCCTAACTCAACAACAGTAAATTGACAACAAGTTAAGGTTAATGTTGGGTTAAGGGAGGGGTAGGTGGGCAGTTGCCCAGACACTGATATTGATCCGAAAATTGTTACTAGCCTATCGGTTGTCTCGCTACATAACATCATAAGCCTCAACACAAATCATTTATAGAATAGATTTGAGTTTTGACCTAAGGATTTTGAGCGACGAAGAAATTGGCTGATAAAAAAATTAGTGTCTTCGAATGGGCGCTGTTTTTTACTTACTGTATGTTTTTGCGCTGTCGAGTGAAACAACTGGTGTCGCTGTCTCCAAGTCATAAATAATACATTGAGCAGATGAATAAGAGGCTACCATTTGTGATGTTTCAGTGCGGATGAAGTCCACCGACGTGGGAACACCACAGCCCTCTGTGAAGAAAAAGTCATGAGCACTTAGACACGAATTTCCTAGCCTATCGCCAAGGGTTACCATAACAGGATGGCGAGAGATGGATAGTTTTCCATTTAAATACTACGATTATTAGTTGAAAGAGGCGAGATAAAAGATTGGTGACACGGTTTTGACCTCAAAATCTTCCCTGCTTTACCAGTGGTTACCAAATCTCTAGAGTAGTGCGTCTCAAGAGGAGTGTCGTGCGCGAGAAAACTCGCTTGCCTAATCTATTGAAGCTATTAGAAGTATTCGGGCGATTTTGGGAAATCAACTTATAAAACATCTGTGATTAGTACTTGAAACTTTGAAAGTGATTTACTGTACCTTGTTCAGGAATGTAGCTATTCAGTAAAGGGGATTTTAAAGTCGGACTCCATAACCGACATGTTCCATCTGCCGAAGCAGAAAGTAACTGTAGCGAGCCCGTCTGAACTGCCAAATCCCACACTGCATCTGTATGCGCTACGAGCATGCCGCTGAGATTTTCCGAATCTGAATAGGAACGATAGAAAAGTTCATCTAAGAAACCCGTCGAATATTGTTACAATGGTGGGACAAGGAGAAATCGGATTCCCTTCAAAGCTGTCAATACGACCCGTTCGCATGCCAAAACTAAGGGCTAGTCTGCCACCTCAAGCCAACTAATTTAACTGCATTCTACCACAAGTTCTAGGGAGAAATCGTAAACTATGGAAATACTATTGAAGAAATTTGTATCGCAGCCATTCCCCAGCCTTTCAGCACAATGAATATCTTAATCGATCGGTAACAGGTTTAGAAGTGTGAATCGATTCCACGTTCAAAATTAGCGCAAAAGGTTGAAGTGAACTTCGTAAAACGCCAAGTAAATTTAAACTGAATAGTTTTAAGTCCATTTCCCAGCCTCTCAGTACAATGAATAGCTTAATCAACCGGTAACAGGTTTAGAAGTGTGAATCGATTCCACGTTCAAAATTTGCTCAAAAGGTTGGAGTGAGCTTCGTAAAACGCCAAGTAAATTTAAACTGAATAGTTTCAAATCTTGCGTGTCATCTAACGAAACAACATGGCCGTCTTCCTATCTTATTGACAGCTCTGACAAACTGGCTGAAGCGCGGGAAAACGCGAATGACCAACTCAAGAAAGTGGCGCGAATTTTCTTGACCAATCACCGACGGTAGTGAGGCAAAAACAGTACAATCATCCCACAATCCTTAAAAAACTTAGTTTAAAACTACTTTTACGATATTAGAAACTTACTATAAGGACCGTACGGGTCTATGTCAAGAGAAGGAATACTCCAACAGATGATGGTTGAATCAGCGCTGCCGCTAAAACACATCTCACTTGTAGAGTTGATTACGACTGAGAGGACAGGAGCACTACAAAAGAACAGCAGAAAACGGTTGATAATTAAGCCGATTACTTCCAAGTGAGACGAATAACAAATATCTCCTTATCGCGTCAATACAATCTCAAGCGGACACGTTATGAGTTGAGAAAAATGTCAACATCGAGACGGTGTTTGATTTAAAATCAAATTCTCTGAGCTGACCTTCCAGGAAATGCATGGCAGAAAGTGAGGAAAATTAATGATAAGTTTCTTAAAACCAACCTGTGCCCTCTAAATGTATAAATTGGTTCCACATCCAACACATTGTTCCTGAGAAAAAAACAAATAAAAACGTGTAAAAATGTTGTCCAACCACCGGCCATGCTGGTCCTAATTCGTTACTTTTCCTTTAAAAATTTATTACTGTTAACTTTGAGTAGCAAGGATTGACATGTAAAGGGCTGCTTCTTTCTATTATTATTATTATTATTATTATTATTATTATTGCTGATTTTACAAGTAAACCTCCTCTTACTTTTTCTGTGGAACAGTTTTCTGAAGATTCCATAATTTAAGTGAATGATCTTCTGAGGCTGTTATAAGAGCTGATTCAGTCGGATGAAAGTATAAGGACCTGATGCTATCAAAATGACTGCAAATAAACAGACAAATACAAAGTAAATTGTACAGTGTGATAAAATATGAACACTCCTTGAAGTGACCGACAGGAAAAGAACAAAAGCTACAAAAAAAAAATCAGAACAACAAAATCAGAGCAAAAAACAGTCTCAAATACTTTCTACTTGGATTGAATAGGTCATAGGTTGTTCCCTAATATCATCTCTCCCTCATCATAAAAATAAATTTCACTTCCCCTCTCTACCCAATCTATAAAGATATATGATATGAAGATCAATTCCCCTTTCCCTTCCCACCCAATCTATAAAAATCATTTTCCTATGAGCAAAACGAACCAGCAAATATAAATACCTTCTTAGCGTGAACTTTGGGCTCCATGTTTTCCTGAACTCTTCCTTTGTGTTTGGCTAAAAACAAAACATATCTATGCAGTTAGATTACTGGAAACAAAAAAGAACTTGAAGGAATGCCTTGAAATTGTTAACTTTAACCAAAAAAATTTTTAAAACAGTAACAATAATGGTAATAATGTTAATAGTAATAATCATAGCACAAACCCAGCATTATGATTTTCTTAATGTAGTTGCACGTACATAGTCTAAACAGATTGACAGTATGCAGGTAATCACCCTTTTAATGAAATCACTCTGTTTTACAGACAGTTCCTTCCCAGCATCGAAGAAAAACCTTGAATTTCAAGTTGAACATACATTGACACAAGTGTGTTATCCACTCACCTCGTAAGAGAGAGCTTCTGCCTCGTTGGTAACAGTTAAACTTGCCAATTCACCAAGACCCAGGGCACTCTCAAATGGTTCATCCACAGTGGCCATGGGTGTGGTCACAGAAGGCTTACCCCCAGCACTTGCATTCCCTGGGACAGAAACGCTTGCAATGGGTGGGATCTCAGATGTGGCACGAGTTCCACTCAGCCGAACTGGTGGAGGGACATTAATAATGGCAGGTGAAGGTGCTGACTGAGGCATTTCATCCTCTCCTTCCAAGTTGGCTAGCATGGCTTGTAATGCTGACCTTGGTGGTCCTACAGGGAAAATTCAAATAAAAAATTCCACATGAAAAAAAAAACCCTTAAAACTCATTCCACATACAGTAATTATTCCCCTGCCCACCCTCCAAGGACTCCACAATGAGATGTTCCCATTTGAGAACTTATTGTACCAGGTTCTTATTCAAAACACTTTACTCCCACGGTGCCTCATTACCCAGGAGTGTGAATGGATTCCAACAAACCTAGTACCCAAACTGTTTGGGAAGCAAGACAAAATGCCTAATACCCTAGGTTGCTACAATAACCTGCAGCAATGTGAGTCATCTTACTCTTTCCCAGGCCAGGAGAGCTAAGAAGGCAACAGAAAGCAACCCACTGTCTGCAGCCAGCATTCCCTGCCCATTCTGCTGCTGTCTTTGCAGGCATGGATGGGATAAGCCAGCCACCTGTGCATCCACAGCAGAAAATACCCCCCACCCTTGGATAACCCCATTGCTTAGCGGAGGCATCAATCATCAACAGGCACATTTATCACTCAAAAATAATCAGTAAAAGAACTTTGTCACTTACTCTTTTGACTCTTTTTAGTCTTTCTTTCTTTCTTGTACTGTTCTTTCAACTTGGCCAGCAAGTTTGAATCAACTCCCCATTCATTCTAAAATGCAAAAGAAAAACTGCAACTTGAGTAAAAAATATTAACAAACAAATTGAAACTTATATTTTTTTTTAAATAACCTAACCCTAACCTTAACCTTGCAGACATATAGTAAACAGCTTTCATCACTTAGATTTGTCGTGTGGACATTTAATAGACCTAAAAAACATCTTTCAAAATACTAGATATTCTTGGTCATGTGAATAACTGCTACACAGTTGTGGTAGGCTGCTATTTGTGCCAATGTTCCAGGGTAACATGACCTCAAGTGAGTGCACACTCCATTAACATTTTAATCCCTAACATCAGTAGGCATATTCTCCATACAGTTTTCCAGACATTTCCTATGGTGCTGACAAGGAGAATTTGTTAAACAATCAAGAGCTTCTTGAGTTACTGATCATTTCCTTTATTCTCATGGGCTTAACGAGTGATTCAAGGGTGATATTGTAAGGAGAAATTATACACCAGTCACTCTTAGGGGTTAATGGGTTAAGGGAAAGATTCACACTACATGACACAGTAGAAGTACTGAAGCAATAATTTTTAATTGACTGTGTAAAATAGACCACAGCTGAGAGCATCTACCAACAATAAGATCATCAGTGACTTATGGTCAGAGTTTGTAATGAACAGTTATTCTCAAAACTGAAAGTTGTAATTAAAAATAATGCATGTAACTGCAGAGTATTTAACAAAACAAACCTGAGTATCAGACCCATCTTTGGCATCTACAAAATAAATATATCACCACTCATTAATTTTGTTTTGGGAAATTAAAGAAATTTGTGTAAAAGAATTTAAATTGTTAATTGAAAGTTTCTTTGCAAGGTAACTTCAAGCTTAAGCAGAAATAAACCATCAAATCTATGAAAAGCTAAAAAAACTAGAATCAATTTAGCCAAGCGCAAAGAAAATGTAGGAAATCACTCTCTAGTTCTCTTGGCTGTTGATCATTTGTTACCCTGATATCACGACAAAGCACAATGTATGTTCAGAATGGCCAGAAAGTGCAGTTTAGTGTACAAACACAAATGTAAATTAAAACAAGCAAGAACTACAATTCTTACCTTGAGGGGCAGGGTATTCTCCTTCCTCTGGCATATTAATATCCATATCTTCTAACACAGCAGTATTGTCTTCCATTTCAATCACTGTTACATCTGTCTCTGAACCAGAATCTTCACCCATCACAAAATCAAATTCTGCCAGTGCATCAGCAGTTTCATCATCTACGCTGAGCATTTCATCAACAGCATCTTTACTCAAATCTTGAGAGGAACAACAACAACAGTTCACTATCTTTCTCTTTATAACTGATACTGTTGCAATACCATAATACACACAAGTATACATACATACAAGTATTGTATGGTTCAATTATGTGGCTAAATGTAACCATGTTCAAACAAGACTCAAAAAGATGACAGCCAGAGGTGATAATTTGTCTTGTTAAATATCATAAATCAATTTTGTTCACTTTTGCTTTTCAGTGGCTGTTACGATGATAACCGATGACTGACAACACCATGAAACAAAAGAGCAAGTTTTGCTCTGACCCTAAGGGTTTGCATCTCACTAAAAGGCAGCGGAACCACACCTTGTTTGGCTCTCTTGCCCATCCTCCGTCCTAGTCTCAAGTCGTCCCTGTCATCAGATTCATCATCAGCACTTCCTCCATCATCATCATTATCATCCTCATTATCTTCCTCATCTTCCACATCATTTTGCAGGAAGTCAAAGTTGGCAAGTACTGCAGCTTCTGTCTCAAGATCATCCTCAATAGGTGCTCTTGAATTCACAACAGGTCGCACTGGCACCCTGTTGCAGAACAAAATTAGTCCAGAAAGAAATTTTAACAGATTACCTTTGCCTTTTAACTCCCAAAACATAGTGATGAATGTTGGATTGAGCAAACCATCTAAATTATATTTGCTGCATTACCCTGACTTAATGATTCACATAGTGAGCAAATCCTTGTGAAGTAAACAAGAAAGTTAAAAAGCTCTATCAATCATGAACAAAAAGCTGGAACACAATTTTCTGTATTGAAAATCTGCCCATCACCACTCACACAAAACTTTCAACAAAGACACTAAAACTGTTGGAAGTTTGGATTTCCTTGTACTATAATGCAATAAGTTCACAAGTACATGTTATATTTCAAAATATGCAGCCATATATTTTGTTTGTGGCCATACAGCACCAAAAATTAAAAAGGAAATCTCTGGTGATACAAAGGAGACTATGGCATTGCCCAGATCGCAGAATCCTGTTGGTTGAAAAATGATTTGGTTACCTTTGCCACTGCTATTTTTGTGGATTTACTTTCACTGAAAAACTTACTTTTTTATGGTTGAGAGGGATTCCTGCTAATATTACAATAATGGGGTCATAAACTAAGGAAATGAGTGAATACCACTTTTTTTCAACAACGAGAGGTGACAGTAAAATAGGCGGTTAATTTTATAGGGTGGCTACATACAAGTTTCCATTATACTGTGGTTTCACTTCATAATAATACTGACAATAATCCCTTACCGTTTCCCAGAAACTATGGGCAAAGCACCATCAGATTCTTCAACTGGCAACTTTCTGATAATGCCAACCTCATTTCTTTTTGGAGATCGTGCATGCTCCTCAATTACTGCATATTCATTTCCCCTGCTTTTACCAGAAATACCATTTGGCTGGGGGTGATCTGGTGCAGAACCATCTGCTACTGACAGACCAAGTATAGATCTCACTCGCGAGGAGCGTACATCCAAAATAGTGTCTGTATAGCCAACCTCTTGAAGATATCTACAAGATGATGAACCACAATTAATAACTGATAATCCCTCTTCTGCTTATAATATATTGGATTTTGCCTTTACTCCATAACCTTTATAACCAGTCTCAATTTGGGACTATGGTAACTAAGTTTATTCCTTAAAAAATTATTTAAAGTACAATTATCACCAATTTGCAAAAGAAACTATCTGTCTGAATGGCTTCACGATCCATTCACTTCCAAAGCCTGAATATTGTGATGCACTATGCCCACTACTGTTTATTAACCTGTTAACCCCTCAGAGTGACTAGCATCTAATTTCTCCTAACAATATCAACCCTGAATTAGACATAAAGGTGACAAGAATAAAGGAAATGATCACCAACTTATGAGGCTCTTCACTTTCAACTAAATTATCCTTGTCACTGCTATAGGCAATGCATAGAAAACAATATAGAGAATTGTTCCACCATTTGATGTTCCATTGCAGAGTGAAAAGTCACAAACTTAATGCTATCCCCCATTATTAAGACTCAACAGCTGGCATTTTCCTCACATCAGTCTTCATATTCTCCATACTGTTCTCAATACATTTCCTAAGAAGCTGACAAGGAGAATTTATTTTTCATGATCATTTCCTCTATTTTCATGACCTTAACATCTGTCTCAACCATGATAATGTGAAGAGGAATTTGATGCTAGTCACTCTTAGGGATTGAAGGGCTACTTAAACAAAAGTTAAACTTACTGTCTAAGTAACTGTCGACCCTGTCGCCAATTTACAACTGGTTTTGTGTTATTGGTGTTGCTATCCCTATGAGCTTCCTGGTTCACATTCTCCTCTTCCTTTGACATCTTTTCTGGTGACACTTCTGTACCATATTTAAGTCTGTGATATTTTGCTCTGCAAGAAAATAAGAAAATAAATTGGTTAGGGATATGAGTGTATGGAGGGATGAATGGCAACAATGATAAACATGTTACAAGTAACCAAGTAAATAATAATAATAATAAACACTGATACCTTTCTTGTTTCAGAGCATATTCCAACATCTTGATTCTCCTAATCAGATCATGTTTAAGATTCTCTTGTCCTTTTCTTTCCCCTTGTAGAAATGCAATACGAGCCTGTAAAAAGATCACACTAATATAAGTAATTCCTCCTTCAAAGTGTGCAAGTCTTTATTTCCTGTCAATAAGTTAACAGCCTTTAGCGTTAAATATTGGTAATGCCCTCTGGCTGATAACTTTGACAAGCTCATGTGATAGAGGATTAAATCTTTAAAGCAGAAGAACCTCTCAGATGCGCTTCACGTACAGTGTTACTGTATGTAATTTAAGTGCATTGCAGAAGTTATTCCATTTTACAGATCTTAATCCTCTACAGTAACAAATTTTCTCAATTCAAATACACCTATTACTTCCATAACTTATCATTTGGTTTTTTTTTTTTTGATTTTTGCTTTTCTTATCTTTTTTCGTTCTTCAAAACACAGCCCTGTTGTTGTTGTGAATGAGGAAATTCTACCACTTCTACCACTATCACTACTACTACCACTTTCAGTTCCTTAAGTATTCATAGGTAAAATTTTAACAAGACATAAAAAACATACTGTATCTAAATATAAACAGGTTTTTTTCAAAAGCAAAGACAAAATTGCACAAGATAAAAATAACCAGGAGATATTTTCAAAAACACAAATTCTAAATTATTTTAATTGGGATCAATAAGAGGGTAATAAGCTTAAATTAAAATCTTGAACATAGTAACACTTATAAAAAAAAATTAAATTGATATTAAGAACTTAAACAGACAAATTCAAAAATATATAAATACCAGATGAGCAAAATATATAAACAAACAAAACTGAATCCACAAAAATAGTCAGGATTTAAAAAACTTGTCATTTCAATCTTGAGTCAATTAAGAAACTGTCAAACTTTCAAATGAGATAAGCCATTTCTTCAAAAGTAAATACATTTAAGGGTAGAAATAACATTTTTTGGGGGGAAGCAACAGGTCTTTGTTGATCAGAGATTCAAGAAGCTTTGATCTTGAACCACTGGTGATGCTTAATAATTCATTTAAATGTTATAACTCATAATCCCTCTTTACAATAAAAGTCAACTTGACTGAAAGTATTGTACAAAATATCATTGATTATTAGCATCTGATTATCTTATGAATAGCGATGTATTTAGATCACTGTTGTTTGTAAACAAAACTGATAAAGCTATATGCATCACAAGAGCTATTTATTTAAAAGTGTTAAAATATCAGTCGGGCATAAGATTTGAATAAAATTTAGACAAGTATTCCTCTGTCACCTCTGAATTTTTCAAAAATGCACTGTCTAAAATGAAAAGAAATACTTCACTTTTAAAATATTAGTTATATGAACACTGAGAATTTATTTCAAACATGATCGGTAATTTTTCCAAATAAATATTCACAGACAGTACACACATGCGGAGTTTGGTCCTTTGTCAAATGTTAATCAACTTGAAATAAACCCATTCAAAAATCGACCCTCACAAGAATAGAAATAAGCCTTTCAAGCGAATTCGAATACGTCCAACCAAATTTACGTCCAGGAAATAAGATCAGTCTGTTTTTCAAACATGGGCAAGCTAAGGGGAATTCAATTATCGAAAGAGCATTCGAGATCGTCTAAAAATGGCCAAATTTCAAGATACAAATTACATGTACACAAAACTTTTCATAATCATTGACCTTAAATATTCCACAACCGCTGAAAGAACATTTCTTTTTATTCCAATGACGGTAAGTGTTTAAAAGCCAATGAAAGTAGCATCAATTGCTACTTTTGTCGAAATTTCCTCCCTGGACCAATATCTGTAGATTCCACCAACAGGCGTCGATCGAGCGATGGAAGGACAACCAGTTGCTAAAAATTTTAGGCTCTATACTAACTAACATTCTCAGAATCCTACATAAAGAAAAATAAACATGGAAATAGTGCTTATTCGATTCAGTTTCGGTTAGAAAATACTGAGAGAACGCTTCAGAAGTAACCGAAAATTGGATCAAAACACCGACACGATAAGCAAGAATCGAAGCTCATTTCGTAGACTGACCTTACTATAAACGAAAATAAGTACACAACTCTTTCCTCCGATACACCGCTTTGATGAAACAAGGGTCGCTTTGAATGACAAAAATGAAATTCGAGGAACGTATTTAAGTTAAAAGGTTTCGAAGAGGGACCAGAAAGTCGATTTAAGTTTACCTGCAATTCTGCTTTCTCGACATCCCAATGCGCTCGATCCATCTCAAATCTAGCCCATTCGTGTTGAATGAAGTGCAAAATTCCCGGTATTGTATACTTTGTTCCTGAATCATTCTCTGGGATCTGAGAAGACACCGGAACTTTTCCTCCATTGTCGTTTTCCATGTCACCTTTAACAAGTTTTACTCCATGAATGCCGCCATTTACTAGCTTTTAGCACGCGACAATCGATCGGTGCAAGAGGCTCCTCGAACCCGCCAAAGAAACCGTCATTCGATCTTCCATTAATTTCCACTACCGGAGCAATGCAGGTTCCTTAAAGATGTACGCAGATGAATATACCTTCTTTCTCAGACTGGGTCAAAAGCAAAAGCGAACCTCGTCTTGAAAACCGCTATCTCGATGATAATCCCCTCTCAAAAATGGAAGACATTTAGATTGCCCTCACTGAAGATCACATGACATCTTCTCTCTACCATCATCCTATCAAATTCCTGCACACCGGACTACGAACATTACCGAAGTAAACCCGGAGATGAACCGAAGATAAACTTCCGCGCCTGCACTCTTTCAGAATATGCGTTCATTTATGCCCAACACTGTGGCAGCTTTAGAATTAAACCTCTACTGTACTAACATATTCCAAAAACAAAAACTTGTGATGAAAATACAGGAGATTATTCATTACTTCCCCAGTTTTCGATGGAAAATTCGTCACCGAAAACCAGGACCTCCTTGGTCAGTGGTATAACTAGATGTGAAACGACACAAAGTTTCTTCACGGCGCCTGGCACTTTCGTTGTTTTCAAAGCGTCAGGGAGAATCAGGAAGTTACGTTAAAGTTTACATGGTTAGTGTCATGCAAAGATCAGTCGATCGCGCCAAAAGTAATAACACAAGATTTTCTGTAATCTGCTAAGATTTAGAATCTCCAGGTTTCTCTTTATTTGTGTAAAGAAAAAGAAAACATTGTTAACACGCCATTCAGACATGAGATGCACAGTTTCTTTACGGAGCCTGAAGATCCATAGCCGGATCTTTGTTCCTGTGCCTATTAATACAACGATTAAAAAATAGGTTTTTCAAAGTGAAACGCATCTTGATCGTAATCAAAAGTTACAGAGGATCTGTATTTCTTTCTCTTTTTCTTCTTTTGTTTAAAAATTCTTGTTTATTTTTTGTTCTTCTCGCTCACAGCTGACTAGTGTGAAATTTACCAAATCAGGGACACCCATTCCCTTGGATTCTGCTGGAAACGAGATTTGTTTGTTATTTCTGAAATATGGAAGATGCCGCTTTAGGAAGAAATGCAAGAAATCACACTGGACACCACCTTTGCCAAGTAACACACATTCCTCCATGATACAGAAGCAATAATTACTAGCCCAATACACCCTAACATGAGTATACATATTCTCCATACTGTTTTCTAAAAATTACTTAAGGTGCTGACAAGGAGAATTTGTTTAACAATCAAGAGCTTCTTAAGTTGGTGCTTATTTTCCTTAATTTCATGACCTTCATGCATGATTCAGAGATAATATTGTAAGGTGAAATTAGATTAGGTTGTCCCTCTCAGGGGTCAGTTGGTTAACTCTTTAACTCCCAAAAGTGATTAACTTAAAACTTCTCCCTACAATATCCATACATTCTTCAGAAAACAGGTAATGAGAATATTCAACCTTATCAGGTAGAAGCTGCTATCTTGATCTAGCACCAAGATCTCATAACTAATTTACAAGGAAATGTGCAGCTACAGGGGAGAATTAACAATCAGATCTTGGGAGTTAAAGGGTTAAAATGAAATGGCAGTCAGACCCATGAGCCCAAAGGACCAAGGGGCACTCAGCCTATGTTTCTCATGGTACTTTTCTGATGTTTACATGTCCAATATCAATTTTAACAGAATTCGTATTTTATTTTACTTTACAGATGAGGAGTCCCCACCGCCACCACCTCGCCCACCATCCCCTCCCTCATCATTTCCTGACCGTTGCAGTTCCTTTGAACAAGAAGTTGCCAACCCACATATTTCTGTACTGGACGAACAACCAGAACAACATACTGCGCTTGTGAATGAAGCAAATACTGAAAAGGAAAATATTATTTTAAATACCACATGTGCAGAAACATCCATCACATTCCCAAATTTGGACTCTCTTCTAGACCAAGATGAGTTCAAGTGCAGATCTCAAGATCAATCTTTTGTTACAATGCCATCTACAAATTTTTGTCCCAACAATTTTCAAGAAGATACTGAGCCAATGTTTACTAGTGCATCTACCTCAAATAACTCTCTGACACAATCCTGTCTTGGTACTGACATCAGAGATCTAGCCGAAAATACAGAAAAGGAAATCAGGGACTTAAAAACTGCATCTGATAATAATGAGAGTTCAACAAAGCATAAGCTGGAAAAAGTATTGGATAGGACAATGGAAGTCATTAATAAGGGGAACTGCAGATTTGATTATTTATATCATCATGTGGGACAAACTAAAGGTTGGTTTATGTTTGTTACAAAATGCCCTTTTCCAGGAACTGTATAAAGTGCATGAATCCAAGCATGTATGTGGAGGTGGCTTTGTGGAAGGCAGAGCAGCAAATGTTGACAGAAGAACGAGAAGTAGTCAAGTTGTTCCAAAGTTCCATGGCAATTTCTGCCCCAAAAAGAGATCTCTCATACACCTCAATTTTCCTAATATTTTACTGTAATAGGAAAACAGCAGAAAGGAGGTTATGGTTAGTCTCTCTATTCTATTTGCAGATTGCAGCTGGAGATTTAGAAGCAGTCTGGATCAAAGTTATCAAAGTTATGGAGCTTATTATGATAATATGAGTCAGAAACTTCAGTTTCATCACCAGCCACAGAACAAGGTAAGGTGGGTTAAAAATGAAAAAGAACAGAATTTTAAACGAGAAGGAAGATTTTTAATGGCATGCAAATGAGCACTCTTGGACTGTATTTGATAATCTTTTAAACTAAGTAATTGTAAATCGCTAAAAATTGCAGACATTACTTTTGTAATTTTCAGCACTTGCTGTTTCCTGGGATTGTGTTCTTTCTTTCTTTCTTTCTAACAGCCTGTCACGAAGCCAGGAAACGATTCTTGTTTTCCTTTTTAAACACTTTATTATTTATCTTAAACTTCTGAAAACCTTACGATCTCGAACCTTATTTATAGTAGCCGATTACATCATACTTATATCTGAAACACTATTTTTAGCAGCAAGAACATTCTAGACGCTAATGATGACATATCCTTAAAATAGCTCAATAGAATGTTCCGGAATATGGAGAAGTTTCTAGCTCAGCTTATGCAATAGCGTTGTGTTAAATCAA